TGATATCTAGTGAGTGATTAATTTATGGCCCATGCATAACTAGAGCTCTATGATGCTTTATTGAAAGAAATACCTGCAATATAATGCTGTTAATAAATTAACGGGGATCCATGTTTAATTGCGGTTTTGTGTGGACACGCTTGCATGTGTATGCTGACAGCTAGGTTTTTCTTTTCTATGGCTAACTAATAGCTAGGTATTTAATTTCCATCTCAAGGGCTTATATAGATGTTGCAAGTTGAGCCAGGCAAATATCAGAATGTTGACTATATATTGTGGATGATAGTTTGATTGAGATGCTTCTGTTTCCATTCTGTATAGCTTGAAGAAAACTTTGGGCGCATCGATATCTTCTCTTCCTTCTGTGGTTCGTTTTAATAACTTCGCCTGATAACTAGCTGAACACTTAGAAGTGTTGGTATAATATTATGCTAACACACACAATCACGCACACTCGTACATCTTTGATCTGGCAAATCATGGAACCTGGAGGAATGGCGCTCAACCCTAAATAAATCCTTGAACTCAAGCTGTTTGGATTAGCTTTGGATCGAAGTGATTTTGTGCCGTATGAGACAAATGTGTGAAAAGAGTTTTAATTTATCTCATAAAACGTAAAAGTACGTATTTTAATTAAGCTGATCCAAATAGCTTTAATTAGCGTTGTATTTAGTTATTGACTATTTAACTATAAAACCTCACCCTCCGAAGTTACACAGTTGATTTGTTCAATTTTACTTTGGCTTGGCTGCGCCTCAGATTGCTTTGCTGTCTTAAATTAATTTTTTCGGACTCTTGGCATATGGGTGTAATCATCTTGTCCAAACTTCAGGCCCTTTCACAGGATTAAAAGGCGAGGCTATACTCTTTCGGTTACCCAATATCATTTATTAGTTGTGCCAAAAGTTCTTAGGGAAAATGATTAAAAAAAGACCGTGATAACTGTAAAATCCCAAATCAAGTATTTTCATAAAAATATGTTGTTATTTACAAGTCAGATGTTGTCAAAATATGTTAAATTGTTGTAGCGAATTTGAGATTTTGCAATTTTCATATTCTTTATTTATCATTCTACCAAGTTATTATTCTTATATATTAGCCATGTTATGGAATCTTGAGCGTGTCGTCAATTTCGGAGGCGGAAGATTTTTCCAATAACCATACGATTAAAATTAATTACCACTCAATAATGTTGAAAATTGGGAGGAGGATAGAGACTTTCGTTTCACTCTCTTCTGTTAAATTACATTGTTTAGTTCTCACGCTCATTCAACGTTTTTTTTAATCTCTCAACATTGTTTATTTCTTTCAATAAATCAATTTTATAAAAATAAATAAATTATTGGTTTTGTTTTTACTATACAAATATTTTAAATTATTGATACCTTAATTTTCACTTTTTTCAACCGCACAAAAGAGGCATATAGATTTTATTTAATAAAAATATTATAATAGATATATAAAAGTTTGTTGAAGTCAGTTTTTAGGTCTTATGCATTATTTTTAATATTTTTTTAAAAAATATTAATAATTTTTTTACTCATATTATGCCCTTGCTAACTAGTTTTTCTGAGTCCATCACTTAGAATTATCAATCTAACCCAAAAAAAAAAAAGGAGTGGCGGTTATGAACTTCTGATTGCAGTTTTCTGATCAACGCCCTCATAAATGAAAGTTGGACGATGACAGGCCACAGAACATTTTTGTCCTCTGACAAAACAATGTGACTATTAACTATTTTGTTGAAAATAATATATGTAACTTTTTCTTGCCAACGAAAATAATATATAACTACAAATTAATTAAGTGATATAATATGTTGACGAATATCAAAATTGTTCTAAAAAATATGACATGGGCCAGACTCCCAAGCGTCACCAGCAATTTAGCATTTTTTTAAGGGCGATAGCAACGTAACGTACTACAACCCTCTTTTTTCTTTTCTTTTTTTTTTTTGAAATCCAGCTCAGATTCAAGCGGGTCTGTCTCCAGACATACGATGAAGGCTCTCCCGTAAATATAACTGCCAACGGCTTGGATCAGCAGAACATTATGAAATTTAAATTCTCCTATTCATGTTTAGCACTACCTTCGGTCCTTGACACAAAATTTTGTTTAATTTTTATTTTAATCTTAAATATAAAATCTCAATCTATTTTATCTCTCATATTTATCTATTTTTTTTCAAAATAATTCTTGTAATAGTTGCACATTTAGATGTTCAATCAAATAATAATTCTAATTATTAATACATATAATTAGTAAGGATATTTTAAGGAAGAAAACACTTAATTATTACAAATAATTAACTCAACAAATTTTTTTAATCTACTCTAATTAGTTAACTATCTCTTATATTAATGATGGAGGTAGTATCTGATAGTGTTTCAAATAAAATTGCATTCAATAAAAAAATATTTGCACCAAGCCAAAACCAAAAAAAAAACTGAAATTCTTTTTATGTACTGTTAAACCCAACTCTCTCATATAGTCGTATGTTGGAGTTAAGGTAACTCACCGGTTGGAAACAGCATGATTTAGGGGGTGTTTAGGTGAAAATAAAACTATGATTTTAAAAGTATTTTTATAATAAACAAAATAAATATGTAAAGAAATTTATCTTAATTTATTAAAAAATATTTTTAAAAAGCATTTTTAGACAAATCCAAATACTCCGTTAATGAAAATGTTTATTCAACAACCAAAAACTGGCAGAAAAGCTGTTGAACATTTATGCACCATGTTCTCGGAAAGCAGTTTTTACGTCTTTTTTTTTTGGGCCAACATTTACGTCTTACATAGTACTCCTTTTTTAAAACCTGAGCATAATTTTTTTGATGTTTCCGATCTTTTTTTAAACTAATTATATTTTGGAAATGATTGAATATTTCATATATATTTTTAATTCTTATTACTAGTTGATTATATGTATTTTTTCTTATTTATTTTGGTGGGCCTTTTTTACGAGTTACTCCTCTAAGCTATTTATAGAGCAGAGAGAGAAGTTTTTTTTAGTCATATTTATAAGTCACTTCATTAAATTTTTAGCGTAAATGTATTATATTGTCCTTCATTTATTATGGTGTAGGTATTTATCTCTTTAAAAAGGTATATATTAAATATGGGTAAAATTAAAAAATTGTTATATTTTAATAGAGAGTTAATGCATTTTAAGGTTTTCTTAGTCTATGTAAATATGCTGAAGTGTCTTATAAATATGACCAGATGAGTATTTTCTTTTGCATACCTTCCTTATGAACAAGAACATATTTTTTTAAAAAAATAAATTTCTTCCATATTTATGTCTTCAACCAATAGCAGATTTCTACATAATGAATGTCAAGTGTAACATAGATATTTTGTTACATAATTTATACTGTTATAAATTAGTTACATTCTATTATGTAAATACTCTTAGACTCATCTCTGTGTGTGTATACACCTTTTATCAATAATAAGGGTAAGTCATTTTTCCAAAGTTTAGTTTCATGGTATTCTGAGCCAGTACCAAGTCCTCTTTTGTCTTTTTTGTTGCACTTTTCTCTTTCTGTTCTTCCTTGGGTTCTCTGTTTCTTGATCTTTCCACCATCATTCTTCCCAAGCTCCTTTCATGGCGTCTGACTTTGATTCTTCCATTGACCAATCGAGCCCCTTCTACATTCACTCGAATGAAAATCCAGCTCTCATTCTCGTCTCTCCTCCACTTGATGGCTCAAATTATCACGGATGGGCCTGCACCATGAAAATGGCTTTACTATCAAAGAATAAGTTGAAATTTGTTGATGGATCGATTACTCGTCCCACGGCTTCTAATAAACTATTTCTAGCATGGGAACAATGCAACAACCTTATTCAAGGGTGGCTAACGAAGTCCCTTTCTCCCATGATCATTGCTAGGAGCACTCTTTGATTCGATATAGTTGCTGAGATTTAGACTGACTTGAAGTCTAGATACACTCAGTCTGATATTTTTCAAATTGCAGAGCTTCAAGAAGAAATTTTCAGTCTCAAACAAGGCAACCTTACTGTAAGTGAGTACTATATATACTTTGCCTAAAGACTCTCTGGGACGAATTATCTAATATTTGGTTGATTGAGTCCTGTACTTGTGGCGTGGGTAACAGTGCAAAAACTCACTGGGAATAGGATTATATAACCCCATTCTTGAAAGGACTCAATGGGCAATACGGTAGTGTTAAATCACAGATTATGCTTCTCAATCCACTTCCTTCCATCAATCGAGTATTCTCCTTAGTTCTTTAGCAAGAAAGAGAAATTCATCCCTCTGTATCGATGCGTGTTGACTCCAAGATTTTGCTAGCCAAAGCTCCAAACTGACCGCCGATTAAGTCTACTGATGGATCTTTAAAGCGGTGCTCCTACTATGGGAAACCAAGACATATGGAAGAGATGTGCTATAGGAAACATGGTTTTCCTCTGGGCTTCAAAGTTCCAATCTGGTTCTCCTGTTTTGGTGAATAATTTTTCATCTCAAGATTCTAGTAATGTTCAATTGAAGACAATTATATTTGAGATACTATGGAGTATTAAATGTGAGCACCTTTTTTAACATGATTTAAAATTTGGTTTGTCACATTATAAGGTATTAGTTCCTTCTGCTAGACTCAATTCTTATTGATACATAATTTTGTAGCTTATAAATACGGCAGATTATGATTTTCAGCAGACCCTCATTCACTTTTACGCGTGTGGATATCATACATAAATTTAAGTGTCATTGTAAAGTTTTTCTGTTGGCCTGAGGTCATTGTAAAGTTCCAACCCGGCCTTTCTCAAGTTCCAAAGTTCTGCCATTTTCTTCTGTGTTTCTGTAAGCTTTGAGGCTTATTTTTACTCTAATGAATTCAATTAATGTGAACCTTTCTTTGTTTTTTTTTTGGTTAAAATTTAATGAATTGGCTGTGTTTGGGAGAAACTTGGTTTAGTTGGTAAGAAATCAACTCAACTTATAAGATCTTTTTTTTTTAAAAAAAAAAAGAATGGCTCAAGGAGCAAAGGAAGTTTTATTTATTGCTGCAACTGACAAATCATAAATACTACTAGTAACTATTACGTGGATTAAATGAAGACATATCCCTTGCGTGCATTTTCGGGGGGAAGACCACATTACCTAAACACAAGACATGACACAAATAATAGATATAGAAACAGACACAGGCAGAGCCACATCTGGCGTTTTATTTGCCGAAGAAACGCAACAGCCCTCTTAAATCTTCGCAGTTCGTGAAGGATTAGCATAGCTATTTCTACAACTTGGTTTTGTAGGGAATCTCCATTGCTGCTTTGTGGATCATTTCAAAGGCATAATTCACGTACGACGCTAATTTCTTCTGATCCATAAATCCTTCTTCTGCTCTTGTTGTCACCCTTAATATTCCCATATAGCTTGTTATGGTAATAACCAGACTCTGCAACAATATATATAGCAAGTACCAAGAGAGGGAATTTAATTTCTTCAGCACACGCACGGAGATCAGAGATATATGGTATTAAAGAAAACCCAAAGAAAAATGATGAGAAAGTGAACACGAGAGGTAACAATACATTTTATATACCTGAGGTACGCCGGACAAGGTAAAGTATAAGCTTTTTATGGGGAAATGAGCCATAGCTAGTTGATCCGAGGGTCCGACCATGTTTGATATCAGTACACTTGAGTTTCTCATCGTCTTATGAAAGTGTTTACCCACTGCCTGCAACACATATGGAACAATGCTTCATTAGCAAAAAGTATCTAGAATTAGCTAAATCTGATCAAAAAAAAATCTAGAATTAGCTAAAGAATAACGAGAGTATATTATTAATGAAGCAGTGCAGTGAATATATACATCCGTGCACTCACCTCAGGGCCACTGAATTCATGCTCCATCTGTAGAAACATAGAAAGGAGAGAATAAACCAAATGGCCTCTCTTCTTCATCTTCATAGAATGATGAGCTTCCCAAACAAATTGAAGCGGATCGGAAACAAGGGTGTCTGTCAATTCCGGAACTGGTACATGCGTGTAGGTGAATTTGTTCCCCCAAGTACCCTTCCTGTCTATCCCCGTTCTCATATTATTCTCCTTCGTCTCGTAACTCTCAACATTTCTCATATTCAACATTGGCAGCAGGGTGCACTTTTTGGTTCTTGAACTGTAATCAACATCTTGCATGTATAACCGAATCGCGTAGGAAATTATTCCGGTGAGCACATCATTTACTGTCTGTACATAGCAAAACAAAAGTTATGCACTGATATAAATAGACACATGATGCACACTGAGTAAACAAATGGGCAAAAGGATGAAAAACCACCACATCTTAAAACAATTTCATAGTTCCTTCCATACACACACACACACGCATATTCGATGTAGGTTTGACTTCCCATATCTCGTTAAGTCCATATTCACACTGACATCTTAGCGATAACTTGACGGAAGAATTAAAAAGTAATTACCACTCCAAGCTTGGACTTGATATTTTTTATATGATCAACTGGGAATGTGATACTGGACAAGGTAGCGGGTTGAAACTCGACTCCTTCTTGTCCAGATCTTATGGGTGTTTTGTCATCTTCATCGTGAGTGCTCTTGAGTAAGCTCCACCCGAAATCTTTTATAGAAGTGTAGATATTGGGCACGAAACTGGGAATTCTGCTAAGAAAGGGTTGATCAGAAAGTGTCATTGTTTTCGATGACTTGAGTAGTGAAGGAAAAGTCACGGGGGAAGAGGGATCATCAGCTCTTTTGAGCCAAGAGAGAAGGACACTCATGAGAGTGTAGCCATCTCCAATGGAGTGATGAACTTTCAAAACTAAAGTGGTAATGGAGCTGTTGATCACATGAACTTCCCATAATGGTTTCGAATGAGGTAGCTGCGGCGTTGATATGTGAGATAAATAATCACTGAAGCATTTGGCATATTCATCCTCTGACATGGATTCCCAGGAAATTGTTGGTTCAATGATATGGTCCTCCAGCTTCACTTCAACCCGTTCCCATCTTCTGTCTCCACTCCCGTCTCTAACCTGTCATCAAACACAAGTCCTTGGTTCGTTATGATATGCACATCAGATATATATAAAAACTAGCAGGAGCTAGCTAGGTGATTAAATGCAAGTGTATGTGTGAAATTAAGGGACAGAAGCAGAGAGAAACCAGTATAGAGTCGAAGCGTGGGATTGAAAGAAGGGACTTAATGCAAGAGATGAGGTGCAAATGAGGGACAGGAACTTCAAACTCTAAAACAATAAGGACGTGTAACCAGAAGGAAGAGCTGTCCAGGGATTGTGCCATAGGACTCAGAGGCTCAGGTAAGTGATCCATTGAAGTGGACAAAGTGCAAATAGCTTATGGAAGGAGGATTTTCTGGGGAGATAGGTTACGAAGACGGATGCATTTGAACTACGTGATACGATGTGTATTTATAGACTTACATAATGTGCGCTAAACCACACACAAACGAGCAGCGATGGCTATATTCTCTCACGTTTAGATATTGATCAATTTTTTTTTTTTTGGGTTATGGTTAATGCTAGTCAACACTAACGCAAGATGCTGAGAAAATTCAGAGATTGAAAAAAAAAAAGAAAAAAGAAGAAGAAGACAAGTACGCGATCGGTGTAGAGAAGCAGCAATTGTTAGCTAGAAAAGCCTAAAACCAAAAGCAAGGTAGTTGAACTTTCAATTTCAGGGACACGCGTCTCCTCAAGTGGTCACTCAGTTACAGTTCATGGCATCGTACCGAGGGAGTAAATCATCACATCTGTAATTAATGTTCAAGACACGTCATTCTAATTTTATTATATAGAAAATTAATGGCCAAATTAATTCGAACATTGAAATCTAAAGGAATTTCAGGTTGGCATAGAGAAAATAAACCTATAGCTGGCGACGGTGGCACTTAACTGTCTTACTTTACGAGGAATTAAACTGTATGCCGGCCCTCTCCCGTCGCTACTGAAGTAGTACTAAATTTTCCCCAGCTGGATCCTACGCAGTAGTGACAAAAAAGGTAGAAGAATAAAGATTATTGAATGAAACTGTGTTTTATTCTGATACAATAATGGTGATAACAGAGCTATATATATACACAACTGACATAGACTTGTGGGGAAGATGCAACAGAAAGCTAACAATTAGTTGAGCTTCAACTAACCAGCTGCAACGTTAAACTAGTCCAAGCCTCCTAATTACTCCTTAACATGGTACTTGTTCACAACCGTCGTATGTTTCAGTTTACCTTCTGCGTTATTAAAGCGAAGAGACATTTATATTGTGCTGTTTCAAAGGGAGTGTCTTTGAGATTTACTTTGAAAAAAGAAAGCGGTTTATTGTTTATATATTACGCACACAAACTTAAGCTTCAACCATCTTATGGACGGAATGGTTTGTTCTGCTTTGTTAAGAAGATTTATAGCTAACTGATTGAAGTCAAATTTTGCAGACATGATAGGTTCTGAAGGAAATAATTAAATAGACGTCAGAACAATATCTATATACTCCTTCGGTCCCAAATATTCAGTTCTAAATATAAGATTTATTTTGTAGTATTAATATAACTCAAGAGAAAAAGGCCATATACGTTGGCAAAGAAAAAAAAAAGCCATATACATGATTGGTTTGATGTTTTCAGATTAAAAAGCATCAATCTTTCAAAACCCAAATGCTGAATGCTGAAACTCCCATATGACACTGTCTGTGATATTCATGATCTCTTTGTGGCGCCATAGCTTGGCGTAGACCAATCCTGCCCCAGCTGATGAAGCTATATGAAGTGAAATAATAGAAAAAGACCGTTATATAGTGCAAGTGAAAGGGAGACTTGAAGACAACATCATCAAACTAAAAAAGAAAAAAAAACACAAAATTTAAGGGGCAATGATGGCACACGACTTCAGTTTTAAAAATTATCAGCTCTCCTTCATAGTACTACTTTTGTCATCATGTTACAATTTCAATTTTTTTCCTTCATTTATAGATGATAGATGTTGAAAATGGGGACAATGCCCAAGCTGAACCACACACAATGACACAAACGAGCGCCGGCCATATCCTCTCATGTTTAAATAATGATCAACATTTGTATGGTAAAAAAAAACGATCAATATTCATCTGCTGGCCTTTTTCCCTTTCTCGATCGTCCGTGGGCCCAGATATTTCATTACTAGTACGTAACTGCGAATAACTGCTGCGCTTGGTTTGCAAAGATCTTAGTTTATTAGATGACCCTTTTCAAGGCCAACAATTAGTGTTGAAAATTGAGTGGTAGAGCCTGAGAAACTTGGAGTGCACATTATCCCGTGAACCTCTTATATTTTGGATTAAAATTTCTTTTAATCAACTTCTTACTTACATATTCTGATTTTTAATTTGGTTCTAAATATATGAATCCAATTCAATTTATCTTTCATATTTATGTATTTTTTTAGTATAGTTCTTGTAGTAGTTGTACATATTAAATGTTTCATCAAATAGTAGTTTTAATTAATACATATGATTAGTAAAAGTATTCTAAAAAAGATAACACTTATTTATTACAAATAACTAATGTAACTAGTTTCTTTAATTTCTCTAAATTAGTCAACTAGGTCTTATATTAAGGAATTGAGATGATATTATGAAATAGAGGGAGTACTATTGATACATCAACTTTCACATTAATTCTCACATACTCCTCTATAAGTCACTTCTACCATGTTTCACACAGATTAAGAAAAATCTTAAACTTTATTAACTCTCATTTAAAATTCAATAACTTTTCAACTTTATCTCTATTTAATATATATTATACTTCATGTAAACAAAGTCAACACAATAATAAATGAAGGGTAAAATTATACATTCATGCAACAAATTTTTCTTAATACCCTATAAATAGGATTAAAAAATATTATCTCTCTGTAACTTAGAAATAGGATGAGATGACTATTATGCAGCCCGTCTAAACCACGTGCGAAAAAAGAATGGTGTCCTCTCAATCACGGATCATGACATTGAGGAAAAACAAAAATTCATTAACTTTTTCTGACGGAAGTGAATGAAAATTAAATTTCATATCATAGGAAGCATTTAATTGTTACGCGTTAAGCGTGGCTTAGGTAACCGAAGCTAATTGTCCAAATACAAAGAAATAATTAAAAAAGATAGATGCACATGCCTTTGAAGGTAGTTAAAGGGTTTATGTGATTCGAACTCATGTCATTGGTCTGATTACAGTAAATGTACGTTCTTTGATTTTCCAGCAAATCTCCATTGTTCCAATACGCAGTGAAGACTTGAATTGAAAACAAGGTTTAGGTTCTGATTCTTCGGAAGAGACACATTTTGAGAACATTGCTACGTTAATGTGCAGCGAAGAAGAAAAAGTGTACGTGAATATAAACTGAGTGTTTTATACAGATACAATGGTGAAATAGAGCTACTCATCTGGTTTTCTTTACAAAGTAGAGAGAGGTTTTTTTTAGTTATATTTATAAGTCACTTCATTAAATTTTTAGTATGAATGTACTATTTTGTCATTCATTTATATAATGTAAATTTTTTTTTGAAAAAAAAAATATATATACTCCCTCCGGTCCTTATTATAAGCTTTAAATAACTAATTTGTGAATAACAAACAATTAGTTAAAATTAGTTAAAAATAATAAATAGGTTAAAAATATATTTTTGATTTCAAATATGCCCTTGTAATAAATGAGAAAAAAAGATGAAAGAGAATATGTGGAAAAATGTGATAAGAGAGATTATGGCAAAAGAGAGAGAATGAATAATTAAGGGTAAAATTGAAAAAAGTGTGTTAAATGTTAAGACAAACACCAAATTAAATCTTATAAAATGGACTACACCTCCAATTTGAAGCTTATAAATAAGACCAGAAGTAGTATTAAATATGGATAAAGTTAAAAAATTGTTATATTTTAGTGGATAGTTGATACAGTTTAATGTTTTTTTTTAATATATGTGAAATATATTGCAAGTGCTTTATAAATAAGATTAACATAGACTTGTGGGGAAGATGCAACAAAAGAGCTAACAAATTGGTTAAGCTTCAAAGGTTTCGTATGCTTCAGTTTACGTTCTGCAACATTAAAGAGATTTATAGCTAAGTGATTAAAGTCAAATTCTGCAGACATTAAATTTGCAGTCAAAGGTTCCGAAGGAACTTATATTATATAATTAAATAGACGTCAGAACAACCACTATATTAATGCAACTCGAAAGGGCAAAAAAATAAAAATAAAAAAGACCATATGCATAGTTGTTTTGATTTTTCTCAAATTAAAAACTATCAACCTTTCAAAACCCAAATGCTGAATGCTGAAACTCCCATCTGATACTATCTGTGAGGCTCGTGATCTCTTGATGGGGCCATGGATTGGCGTAGACCAATCCAGCCCCAGCTGATGGAGCTTGATGGCAGCATCAAATGGATCGATAATGATAGCACTCAGCCTGATACACATTGAAGTAATTCACTAATTAAAAGCTGTGTTAATAACCTCAGTTTTTCCTCACCCAATCAGTAAAGACCTGCATCTTGGCACTTATCCACGACTCTCCCTATATGAAAACTCCATGATTGCGTACTAGCACCGCATTTGTTCTTGGGTATGCTTCAAGCTATATGAAGCACACCAATAATAGAAACATAAAACAATTACTGTACAATTGAAAGATAGAGATAGTTAATTAAATGACCCTTTCCAAAGTGCTTGTTCTGAGCAGTGATCAAAAGTTAATGTTGAAAATTAAGTGGTAAAAGCCTTACAAACCTGGAGGGCAAGATAGAGACATTCGTTTTAAAGATGAATTTCTCGCACTCAAATACAATTATTGTTTTTTGGCCAAAAAAAAAAACTATTGTTTACTTCTTCACTCTGTTTTGTAACTTCATTCTCACGTCTCTCACTCCACTCTTATTTTACAGCTGACACTGATGGATGTTTAACATAAGCTTACACATCTCATTTTATTTGGTGCATAAACACATTACACTCCCACTTATAATTCTTCTCAGTTCATGAGGATTTAATTTTCAGAATTTGGTTTTGTCTGCAGGAATCTCCAGCGCTGCTTTGTGTATTATATATGTGAAAGGCATCATTCACGTACGACTCCAATTTCTTCACATCTATGAATCCTTCTTCCACTCTACCTGTCACTCTTAACGTTCCCATGTAGCTTATTATGGTAATAAACAGACTCTGCAGAGTAAAGTAAGCAAACGGCATTCAAATTTAATTTCTTTTCGACGCATGAAAAGAGAGGGTATAGAGAAAAAACAGGACAATACTATATGTTATGTATCCCACGAAAGAACAGGAGTACTATTACTTGGTAGGACATGATTATTTATCATTAACTGCGTTAAGCTGACTCTTCGTGATAATTAGTTGATTTTCCCAGGTCAAAACATGATGAGAAAGGGGAGGAAGAGGAAACAGTAATATATACCTGAGGCATGCCAGACCCAGTAAAGTAAAAGTCTTTTATTGGATAATTAGCCACAGCCAACTGATCCAACGGTCAAACCATGTTCGTTATGAAACAACTTGAGTTTCTCAATGTCTTGTGCAAGTGTTTAGCCGCTCCCTACACAGCACGCCACAATAATAGTTAACCTTAATCTGAAACAATATAATCCCACTAAAACCAAATGCACACACACACGCGCGCGCACACATGTATGTATATATATCCGACGAAAAAAGCGATTTAGAAAAGGCATTCAGAGTTAGCTGAAGCAAAACGAGGATCTACTTACCTCAGCGCCTTTGAGTCGATGCTTCATCTGCACAAGCGTGCCATGGAGTAATAAACTAAAAAGTTTCTCTTCTTCATTGCATGATGAACTTTCCTAACAAATTGAAGTGGATCTGAACTTTGGGCGTCATTCAATTTTGGAATTGCTACATGCATGAAGGAGAATTTGTTCCCCCAAGTACACTCCCCTTTAGCCTCTTTCATATTTTTCGCTGCCTGGTAACTTTGAACATTTCTTGTATTAAGTATTAGCAGAAGGGTGCTATTTTTTGTGCTTGAAGAATGATCGACGTCTTGCATGTATAACCGGATCCCGAGGGAAATTATTCCCGTGATCACATCATTTACTGTCTGTATTAATACAATAAAACAAAGTTATAAACTTCTATTGTCAAGCAAATACAGTAGAACTAACGAGAGTTTATCTTCTTGCCCGCATAAAAATATACGTTACTAATTACATACCACTTCAAGCTTGGACTTCATTTCTTTAATACGGTTCATTGGAAATTTGACATTGAACATGGCAGCAGGTTGAAGCTCGACTGATCTATTTCCAGACCTTATTGGTGTTTTATCATCTTCAACCAAAGTACTTTTGAGCAAGCTCCACCCAAAATATGTTGCAGAAGAGAAGATAGAGGATAAGAAGCGGGGAATTCTCCCGAACAAGTTTCGGCTTTCAGGCTCCATTTTTGACGATTTGAGTGAAGGAAAAGTCACAGGGAGAGAGGGATCATCAGCTCTTTCCAGACAAGAGAGAAGAACACCCATGAGAGCGTAGCCATCTCCAACGGAGTGATGAACTTTAAAAACTACAGTGGTAGTGGAGTGTTTGATCACATGAACTTCCCATAATGGCTTGGAACGAGTTAGATCCTCCAACGAGATCTTTGATAAATATTCACTAAAGCATTTGGCATATCCATCCTTTGACATGGCCTCCCAAGAAATTGTTGGTTCGGCAATATGGTCCTCCAGCTTCACTCCAACTCGTTCCCATCTTTTGACTCCTTTCTTGTCCCTAACCTGTGGTCAAGCATGAGGTCATGGATCATTAGATTTGAGAACCTAGCTAGGCAATAACGTTATAAATCAAATGCAAGTGCGTGCTAAATTGAGAGAAACAGAGCGGGGTAGAGAACCAATATCGAGGAGAAGCGTGGGATGGAAATTAGGGACCGAAGGACAGAAAAAAGAGGCGAATGAGGGAAGGCAACTTCAAATTCAAAAACAACAAGGATATATGCCCAGAGCGAAGAGGTGTCTAAGCACTGTGACATAGGACTCAATGGCTTGGTTAAGGAATCCATTGAAATGAATAAAGTATGGTACATAAGGTGAGATAAGTTTTGTGTGCACCGGTCGTCTATCTGCATAATTTGTATTTATAGAGACTCTCTCTATCGCACAGGTACAAAACATGATAAAAATATTTCTTAAATATTTCGTTATTGAAAAAAAAAATCTCATAATATATATTTTCAACTATTTATTTTGTTTTTGTAAAATTTTTATTTACAACTCATTAATTAGTCTATCTGCATAATAAGTTGAACAAGCGTAAAGTTTATTTTCCAAGGACCAAATTATGCATTTAGTTTCAAATTTTGAGAATTAAATTGTTGAATCTTATGCTTCTCTCTTGTTTTCTTTTTTATTCATTTATACTTGAAAGTCACTTAAATATTCTACTTGTTTACCGATAACATCCTATTTAACTAAATTCAATACTGCCTAGATTTTCTTTTCATGAAAGTCTGATTCATGCAGATTATTATTCTCCCAGGGATATTCACAGAATTGCCTTGCATAAAGTTGAGCTCAATTTTGCAAAGAAAGAAAATCCAAATTAATCTCTTTCGGTGTTAGAAAATGAAACATTTCTAATTATAGTCATTTCTTATTTTAGCTACGTGGAGAAGTCAATTTTAATAAAAATCAAAAGAAGTGTATCCATCAGTTTTTATCACACGTATCCACAAAATTTATTATCATTGATACATCAAGTTTTACATTAATTCCTAAATTTATGTGGGTTGTTGAAGATGGGGCAAAGCCCAGCTAAACCACCGGCGCCAAAAAGAATGGTGTCCTCTCAATTATGGGTCACGACATTGAGAAAAAAGATGTTCATTGTCTAAAGCCGACGGGAGTGGTTGAGAATTAAATTTCATATCAAAGAAAGCATTTAATTTCTATGCGGTACCACCTTAATTAAGTGGCACTCAATTACAGGCCATGTCATTGTGCTGGGACTTAAGCGTGGCTTAAGTAACTGAAGCTAATTGTCCAAATATAAAGAAATACTATCTTCAATGCATAATATAAGACCTAATTAACTAATTTGAAGTAATTAAAAAAATTAGTTTATTTAGTTAGTTGTAATAAATGTATCATTTTTCCTAGAAGACCCTTGCTAATCATATATATTAACTAAAACTACCATTTAATGAGATTTTTAACATGTAAAACTATTATATTAAGCACCGGAGGTAGTAATAATTTGGGGGAAAAAAAAAGAAGATACTTAGCGAAGAAGAGGGGAAAAGAAGGTACATGCGCATGCCTTGAAAGTATTTAAATGGTTAATGTGATCTGAATTCACGTTATTGGCCTACAAATATACGTTCTTTATTATCCAGCAAACCTCCCTCATTCCTGATGCAGTGAAGACTTGTGCTGAAAATGAGGTTTAGGTTCGGATTCTTCGGAATAAACACATTTCGAGAGCATTGTTACGTTAATGTGCAGAGAAGAAGAAAAAGCGTATCTGAATACAAACTATGTTTTATACCGATACAATGATGAGTCAGAGCTATATATATAACTAACATAGACTTGTGGGGAAGATGAAACCAAAAAGCTAACAAATTGGTCAAGCTTCAAACATGTTGAATGCTTCAGTTTACGTTCTGCAACATTAAGGAGATTTATAGCTAATTAATTAAAGTCAAATTTTGCAGACATTGTATACTTGCAGTTGTAGGTTCCGAAGGAACTTATAACGGGACCTATAATTAAATAGACGTCTGAACAACTACTACATATATATATATATATATATATATATATTAATGCAACTCGAAAGGGCAAAAAAAAAAAGAAAAGAAGAAACCATATGCATATTTGTTTTTACGTTTCTCAGATTAAAAAGCATCAACCTTTCAAAACCCAAATGCTGAATGCTGAAACTCCCGTCTGATACTATCTGTGTTGTTCATGATCTCTTGATGGGGCCATGGCTTGGCGTAGACCAATCCAGCCCCAACTGATGGAGCTTAATGGCAGCATCAAATAGAAAATGATAACACTCAGCCTGATACACATTGAAGTAATTCACTAATTAAAAGCTGTGTTAATAACCTCAATTTTTCCTCACTGTACCCAATCAGTAAGCACACTGACCTGCGTCTTGGCACTAATCCATGACTCTCCCCATATGAAAACTCCATGATTGCGTACTAGAAGCGCGTTTGTTCTCGGGTATGCTTCAAGCTATATGAAGTACAATAATAGAAAAACAATTATTATTATTGTACAATTGAAAGATAGAGAGACTTGAAAACATCATCATGAAACTGTAAACCAAAAGGCAAAGGGACAAAGATGATATACCATTTCAGTTTAGAATTTATCAGCTCTCCTTCGTGTGCGGCATTCTCAATTATTGGAACCATAAGTTCGTCATAATACCCACGTCCATCAATTCCTTCTATCATTTCCATGTCCAGCACTGCGCATCTCATGAATCTGTTCACATATTTCATATATTTTTTTAATTCTTATTACTAGTTGATTATATGTATTTTTTTCTTATTTATTTTGTTGCATTTTTTTACGGCTTATTTTTTTTTCGCATATCTTCCTTATAAACAAGAACATATTTTTTTAAAGAAAAAAATTTCTTACACATTTATGTCTTCAACCAATAACAGATTTCCACATAACTAAGTTATTTTCTTTGCTACGTGTAAGTATTTTCTAATTGAAGACAATTCTATTTGAGATATTATCGAGCATTAAATATGAGTACATTTTCAAATAGGATTCAAATTTTGATTTGTCACATTGTAAGATATTAGTTCTTTCTGCTAGACTCAATCTGGTATATAGTTTAGTTATTTAAGTAGCTTAGAAATAGGGTAGATTATGATTTTCAGCAGACCCTCATTCACTTCTACGTGCGTGCATATCAATCTGGTATATCTTCTCTCTCTACCCTATGGTCCTATTTATAGGTAGAGAGAGAAGATATATTTTGAACCTCGGGTACTGAAAAAAATTTTTTATATTGATGTATAATTTTACCTTTTATTTATTATTGTGTTGACTTTGTTTATATAGGGTATAATGTATGTTAAATAGGAATCAGGTTGGAAAGTTGTTAAATTTTAAATGATAGTTAATGAAATTTAAGATTTTTCTTGTTCTATGTCAAACATGATGGAAATGACTTATAAATAAGACCAAAGTGGCATAAATTTAAGCGTCATTGTAAATTTTTTTTTTCTTGAAGTTATTGTAAAGTTCAAACCCGGCCTTTCTCAAGTTCCAAAGTTCTACCATTTTCTTCCGCGTTCCTATAAGCTTCGAGGCTTATTTTCACTCTAGTGAATTCAATTAATGTGAACCTCTCTTTTTTTTGGTCAAAATTAAATGAATAGGCTGCTTTTGTGATGAGCTTGGTTCACTCAGTAAGGAATTAGCTCATAACTTGTAACGTCCAATATTTTTTTTCAAGATTGGCTGCTATAATAAGGAGCAAAGGCAGTTTTATTTATTGCTGCAACTGACAAATCATAAATAATACTAGTAACTATTACATGGATTAAATCAAGAAATATCTCTTGCATTAATTTTATTTGCTAAAGAAACATAACAGCCCTCTTAAATCTTCTCAGTTCGTGAAGGATTAGCATAGCTATTTCTACAACTTGGTTTCGTAAGGAATCTCCTACGCTGCTTTGTGTATCATTTCAAAGGCATCATTCATGTACGACACTAATTTCTTCTGATCTATAAATCCTTCTTCGGCTCTTGTTGTCACTCTTAATATTCCCATATAGCTTGTTATGGTAATAACCAGACTCTACAACAATATATATAGCAAGTACCAAGAGAGAGAATTTAATTTCTTCAGCACACGTACGGACATCAGAGATAGATGGTATTAAAGAAAACCCAAAGAAAAATGATGGGAAAGGGAAAAAGAGAGGTAACAGTACATTGTATATACCTGAGGTACGCCGGACAAGGCAAAGTATAAGCTTTTTATGGGGAGATCAGCCATAGCTATTTGATCCAAGGGTCCGACCATGTTTGATATCAGTATACTTGAGTTTCTCATCGTCTTATGGAAGTGTTTAGCAAAATGTATCAAAAAGTATCCAGAATTAGCCAAAGAATAACGGGAGTATATTATTAATGAAGCAGTGCAACGAATACATACATCCGTGCACTCACCTCAGGGCCACTGAATTGATGCATCATCTGTAGAAACCTAGAAATGAGAGAATAAACCAAATGGCCTCTCTTCTTCATCTTCATAGTATGATGAGCTTCCCAAACAAATTGAAGAGGATCGGAAACTCGGGTGTCTGTCAATTCCGGAACTGGTACATGCGTGTATGTGAATTTGTTCCCCCAAGTATCCTTCCTGTCCCTCCCCGTTCTCGTATTATTCTCCTTCGTCTCGTAACTCTCAACATTTCTCGTATTCAGCATTGGCAGCAGGGTGCACTTTTTTGTTCTTGAACTGTAATCAACATCTTGCATGTATAACCGAATCCCGCAGGAAATTATTCCGGTGATCACATCATTTACTGTCTGTATATAGCAAAACAAAAGTTATACACTGATATATATAGACACATGATGCACACTGAGTAAACAAATGGGCAATAGGATGAAAAACCACCACATATTAAAACAATTTCATTGTTCCTTCCACACACACTTCTTCGATGCAGGTTTGACTTCCAATATCTAGTGAAGTCCATATTCACACTGACATCTTGACAATAACTTGACGGAAGAATTAAAAAGTAATTACCACTCCAAGCTTGGACTTGATATTTTTTATATGATCAAGTGGGAATGTGATACTGGACAAGGTAGCGGGTTGAAACTCGACTCCTTCTTGTCCAGATCTTATGGGTGTTTTGTCATCTTCATGGAGAGTGCTTTTGAGTAAGCTCCACCCGAAATCTTTTATATAAGTGTAGATATTGGGCATGAAACTGGGAATTCTGCCAAGAGAGGGTTGATCAGAAAGTGTCATCATTTTTTATGACTTGAGTAGTGAAGGAAAAGTCACAGGGAGAGAGGGATCATCAGCTCTTTTGAGCCAAGAGAGAAGGGCGGTCATGAGAGTGTAGCCATCTCCAATGGAGTGATGAACTTTAAAAACTAAAGTGGCAGTGGAGCTGTTGATCACATGAACTTCCCATAATGGTTTCGAATGAGGTAGCTGCGGCGTTGATATCTGAGATAAGTAATCACCGAAGCATTTGGCATATTCATCCCTTGACATGGAATCCCAGGAAATTGTTGGTTCAATGATATGGTCCTCCAACTTCACTTCAACCCGTTCCCATCTTCTGACCCCACTCGCGTCTCTAACCTGTCATTAAACATAAGTCCTTGTTTCGTTATGATATGCACATCAGATATATATAAAAACTAGCAGTAGCTAGCTAGGTGATAAAATGCAAGTGCATGTGTAAAATTAAGTGAGAAAAGCAGAGAGAAACCAGTATAGAGTTGAAGCGTGGGATGGAAAGAAGGGACTTAATGCAATAGATGAGGTGCAAATGAGGGACAGGAACTTCAAACTCTAAAACACCAAGGACGTATAACCAGAAGGAAGAGCTGTCCAGGGATTGTGCCATAGGACTCAGAGGCTCAGGTAAGTGATCCATTGAAGCGGACAAAGTGCAAATAGCTTATAGAAGGAGGATTTTCTGGGGAGATAGGTTATGAAGACGGATGCATTTGAACCACGTGATACGATGTGTATTTATAGACTTGCATAATGTGCACTAAACCACACACAAACGAGCAGCGATGGCTATATTCTCTCACGTTTAAATAATGATCAACATTTGTGTGGTTAAAAAACGATCAATGTTCATCTGCTGGGCTTTTACCCTTTCTCGATCGTCCGTGGGCCCAGATGTATTTCATTGCCAGTACGTAACTGCAAATAACAGTTGCGCTTGGTTTGAAAACGTCTTGGTTGATTAAGGGTCCATCTGGATCAGCGATTGGAAAAGTAGCTTATTGAAAAAGTAGCTTATAGAAAAGTGAAATTGGATAAAAGCTAAATTGGATAAGCTGAATTGTGTTTGGATTAGAGTTCAGAAAAGCTAGATTGAAAAAGTGAGATTGGTAAAAGGTTGTTTGGATTATGATTGAGTAAAAATAAGTTTTGTTGTAAAATGACCAAAATAGATATGAGTTTTAATAAATAATGAAACATGATTAAAAAAATAATTTCACATAATACAATGAAATTAAAATAATTTAATATGAAAAATCATAAAAAATATTTTAAATATAAAGTGAAACATGAAAAAGTAAAGTATATTTTTAGGAGCATATTTAAAAATAAAAATATTTCTAACTTATTCATTACTTTCAACTAATTTTAACTGATTTTTTATTATTTACAAATTAGTTATTTGAAGCTTATAATAAGAACCAAAAGAGGTAATAAATTTCTTAACTTTTTCTCTCTCCATATTTCAAAAGCCATAAGCCATAAGCTATAAGTCATAAGCTGTTAATTTTAGCTTATAGCTTATTGTAGCTTTTCAGACAAAAGCCTGATTGCATAAAAGCTGATCCAAATAGACCCAATTGTGTCAATCGAGCTTATAGAGTTTATAGAGCTTATAAGCTACTTATAAACTCAAAATAAGTGATGCCAAACAGGCACTAAATGACACTTTTCGGGTCAACAGTTAGTGTTGAAGATTGGGCGGTAGAGCCTTAGTCACTTGGAGTGCAAGATAGAGACTTTCACATTATCCCCTCACCCTCTTATATTTTGGATTAAAATTTTCTTCTCATCAACTTCTCACATGCTACTTCTGATCCTTAATATAAAGCTAATTTGATTTTTAATTTGATCCTAAATATATAACATATAACACCAATCCAGTTTATCTTTTATAGTTATCCATTTTTTTTTACAATATAATTTTTATAGTAGTTGTACATATTAAATTTTCCATCAAACGATATTTTTGACTAATACGCATGGTTAGCAAGAGTATTCAAAGAAAAGCAACACTTATTTATTATTACAAATAACCAATATAACTAATTTTTTTAATCTTTTTAAATTAGTTAATTAGATTTTATACTAAGGAGCGGAGGTAGTATTATGAAATGGAGGAATTACTATTGATACATCAACTTTCACATTAATTCTCACATATTATGTAGCCCATCTAAACCACGTACGAAAAATGAATGATGTCCTCTCAATTACGTATGGCTCATGACATTGAGAAAAAACGACATATATTCATCGACTAAAACCGACGGACGAAGTGGTTGAAAATTAAATTTCAGATCATAGAAAGCATTTAATTGCTACGCGTTAAGCGTGGCTTAGGTAACCGAGGCTAATTGTACAAATACAAAGAACTAATTAGAAAAGATACTTTAACGAAGAAGAGAAAAAAGGTGCATGCACATGCCTTTGAAAAGTAGTTAAAGGGTTTATGCGATTCGAACTCGTTGTTGGTCCGACTATAGTAAATATACGTTCTTAGATTTTCCAGCAAACCTCCATTATTCCAATACGCAGTGAAGACATGAATTGAAAACAAGGTTTAGGTTCTGATTGTTCGGAAGAAACACACTTTGAGAGCATTGTTACGTTAATGTCCAGAGAAAAAGAAAAAGCGTACGTGAGTATAAACTGAGTGTTTTATACTGATACAGTGGTGAAACAGAGCTACTCATTTGCTTCTATTTATAAGGCAGAGAAAAAGAATTTTTCTTTTGTTCTATTTATAAGTCATTTTATTAAATTTTTACATGAATATACTATTTTGTCTTTCATTTATTATATTATAATAAACTTTTTTTAAAAAAAAGTGTATTAAGTATGAATAAAGTTAGGAAATTGTTATATTTTAACGAATAGTTAATGCAGTTTAAGATTTTTTTTAATTTGTGTGGAACCTGTTATAAGTGTGTTATAAAGAAGACCAGAGGAGTATATATATAACTAACATAGACTTGTGGGGAAGATGCAACAAAAAGGCTAACAAATTGGTTAAGCTTTAACGGTTTCGTATGCTTCAGTTCACCTTCTGCAACATTAAGGAGATTTACAGCTAATTAATTAATTAAAGTCAATTCTGCAGACATTAAATTTGCAGTTATAGGTTCCGAAGGAACTTAAATAATTAATGCAAATCGAAAGGGCAAAAAAAAACAAAAAAAACCGTACACATAGTTGTTTTGATGTTTCTCAGATTAAAAAGTTTCAACCTTTCGAAACCCAAATGCTGAATGCTGAAACTCCCATCTGATACTATCTGTGTTGTTCATGATCTCTTGATGGGGCCATGGCTTGGCGTAGAAGAATCCAGTCCCAGCTGATGGAGCTTGATGGCAGCACCAAATAAATAATGATAACACTCAGCCTGATACACATCGAAGCAATTCACTAATTAAAAGCTTGTGTTCATAACCTCAGTTTTTCCTCGCCCAATCAGTAAAACACACTGACCTGCGTCTTGGCACTAATCCATGACTCTCCCCATATGAAAACTCCATGATTGCGTACTAAAAGCGCGTTTGTTCTCGGGTATGCTTCAAGCTATATGAAGTACAATAATAGAAAAATAATCATTATTATTATTGTACAATTGAAAGATAGAGAGACTTGAAAACATCATCATGAAACTGTAAACCAAAAGAAAGATGGACAAAGATGATATACCACTTCAGTTATAGAATTTATCAGCTCTCCTTCGTGTGCGGCATTCTCAATTATTGGAACTATAAATTCATCAAAATACCCATGTCCATCAATTCCTTTAATCGTTTCCATGTGAGTGATCTGTTAAATTAGTGGAAAAATCTATATACCCAGAGGAAAAGCCTTCATTCACCCCGTCAAATTTAAAACTAGGCATACAGAAGCTGACTTCTAACAGCAACAGTTAAATCAGATAATTACTCGAAAATCTTTAGACAAAGGCCTGATCATAGATACTAGACAAACCTCCATATCATGACTGTGTATAATAGCACCAGCACTGCGCATCTCATAAATCTGTTCATTCAGAGACG